TCTGGAGTGATAACATTACAGGAATCATGAGGGGTGATTAGTTTGCTGAAAAATGGGGAGATTTAGAGCTGATATGATAAAGGACTGTAGAGGGAATAAAATGTGTGTGAAGACCTGAAAGGATTCATTTTACACCTTTATGTTTTTAGCACCAAGTGGGAGAAATTAATAACCTACTAGAGATACACAGGTGAAGGAAAAATGGAAGTGTACTGCAAAGTAGTCGGTAGAGATATTGACCAGAGATGGGTGGCAGGGGTTACAGGGAGGGCTGTGAGCTAAAGCGGGGAAGCAGCAAACGGTGAGCACTAAGGAATGCAGGTTAGCAGTGAACAGAAGAATAGTGGCATAGCAGTAAGTCTAAGTTCACATTAGTGGCTGGGAAGTGTAAGGGGTTAAAAACAGGCATTTGAGCTGCATTTTTACAAATCCCGACCGTCCACATACAAGAAGGCATGCTGGCTTGGCATGTGTTTGTAGCACAGTATTTCATTGCAAAATTCCCTTGGAGTCGAAAAAGTCCTTAAAGGGCCAGTGGCATATAAAACACTTTTTTCATAGCTGCAGCACCTCACTGGAGCAAGATCTTGGATAAATCTCACTAGTGCACAATATGGGAAACAAACAGAAACAGAGGGCACCAGCGACTAAGTGTAGTTTTATTGAAATCAATATTAAAAACAAGCATTAAATGCACTTACTCAAACATCCCTGGCTCTGTGTATATTCCTCCCATAATGAAATTCTTGGGCTAGTGGAGCAATGAAAGCCAGTCACAAACAGCAGAGTATGGCAGGGAAACAGGTGAACTATACAGAGTGTAACAGGGTAGTGGCCAGGTCCGAGTATTGCAGTGGGCTTTGAATTCCTTTAGCCGATGAGTGGTATAGAGAAGCAGCTGGCAATTCAGGGCTGTGGACATGACGCAACATACTACGAAGCAGGAGGTGCACGGCTATGCATTTCAGGGAAGATTCACCCCTTTGTAAAGACCACACTTAGTTGGTGGGGCCCTCTGTTTCTCAATGTGTTTCCCATATTGTCTCTAAACTACCCCTGGAAAAAAACAATCCACAGTGCATCTCTTTTCAGGGGGGTGGCAGAGTTTGCCACCCATGTAAATGAGCCCTTAGAGCTGCAAAGACTGGGAGCAAGCAGCAAGTGGAAAGTTAATATTCATTGGGATACAAATGTGTAAGACAGAGGAGCTATGTTAAGAGATTGAAGCTAATGGATTATTACAATGTTGCACACCTTGTGAGATTGCAGTGTGAGCTTAGCCAAGGTCAACCTTTTTCAACCAGGGTGCCTTCAAGTTTCTTCAGGGGGGCCTTGGCAAAATTCCTAAAAATGATCCAAAAATTGTATACAAGCCAGCAGGTGGATCAAGCCTGCCATTTAGGGTCACAAAGCCACGTGTGCACCATTACAACCTTCAAGCTGCTGGCGTCCTAACAACCATTGACATAATTGGTTGATAAGGAGGACGTTAGGCACTTGCATGGCATCCTTGTTTACTCCTCCCCTGCCCCTCTCCATGAGTACTGGGGTAACATTAGCTGAGTAAGGAAGAGAAACTGAGGGAGACGAAATGCTGGAATACTAGTCAGTACCAGTGTGCAAAGGTGTATCTGCTTTTACAGAATCTCTAATGTTGGGTGTCCTATGTGTGGATACTGCTGTGTTATGTAAAACTATTATGGTAGTTTAGTTTTTTACATTTTAGAATAGGGGGCCTCGAAACTGGTGCAGGATTTTAAAGGTGCCTTGACTGAAAAAAGGTTGAGAAACACTGGTCTAGGTTCACACCATGTTGATTTCCCTAAGGACATGTTTGCTTGGGCATTCTTTTGAATGGGCTGCTGTGTCTATGGAAATCGCAGGGCAAAGATCCCTACACCTTTTCCAAACATGCAGCTGCAGGGAAACTGCATAGTGCAATGTGGTTTCTAGCGCGTGGGGGGTATCATTAGGATTAATGGCACCCCAAGCATCTGTTCAACAGCAGTGAATTTTTGGCTGGGGAAGCTGCAATTTCACACCTTCCCACACCCTTTCAGATGTGAACCTAGCCTTAAAGTAAATAAAAACCAGACTATGGTTGTTGCATTTGTTTGCTTTTTCTTCAGTCTTCTTTCAGTCCACAATACTGTCAATGACCTTGCTAGAAATATTAGCCCATTATAAAATATGTGGATTATATCCTCTGTGGGGGAAATAGACAGCAATAAAAACCTGGTTGACTTTGTAAAAGTTATCTCAAGTGTGAGAGGTTAAGGACTGCTACTGAAATGCGCTTCAGGCTAGGTTCACACCTATGTAGATTGTGTCTCTGCATTGCGTTTTGCGTTGCGATTTTGCACTTGCATTTTGCCATGTTTTTAGTGCATTTTCTTTTTCTTTCTTTTTTTCTTATTGTTGTTAGGCAGATTTTAAAACCAAAATGCATCAAAAACGTGGCAAAAAACATCAAAAAAGCAATACATGCTTTTCTGCAGTGTTCCCATTGAAGTCTATAGAACCAAAAATGCAACATTTTGCGTTCAAAAAAGTCTGACCTTTTCCAAAAAACGCAGCGGGTGAAAACGTGGAGATGTGAACCTGTCCCATAGGAAATCATGTTAAATGGACTTTACTGTGTATCTGCAAAACGCTGCAGAAAACGCTTAGGTGTGAACCTAGGGTAACAGTCATGAGGAGCGTGTAAACAGTACATCAGCAGTATAATCATACTCATTCATTGTCCAATGGGACCACTAATGTCCAATAGTGAGTGGACCAAATGAATGGCGGTGTCACCCCTTGTCTATGAAGCGTCAAAGTGTGCGAGTCACGGGTTATGCAGCACAGAATTAGTTTACATATGTTCTTTAACATTGTTTGACTTTAAAAATATTTTTTATATGTTTATTCTGTTGTATTTTCCCAGAGTGTTCGCTGCTACTGGAAATATTATTTATCCACATTTAATCAAGTGAATGTGACTAATATAATGTAGCTATAGTCGTTCCTTCTGTCTGCATAATTTGTCACAGCTTGGAAGTGCAGGAATGCTCCTGTTTAGTCACAGGTGATTGCATTTGATGGAGTCGCTGATCCACCTGCATCTCAGCATGCATATCCATTAACCCTGGCCTATGAGTGGTCCAATGAGCAGCTCTGAGAACTCTTGCTTCATGAGCTATAGCTTTCTTAGTATTTGGCATGGCACAGAAAAGCCCCCAGCTGACATCATGACAGAACTGCTGTTGTATTTGGGCACATTGTTGACTTTGCTGATATGAGCCAGTGCCCATTAATAAACATGAATAGGCTATTTCCATTTGTAATGATTTAAAAAGCTTTCCTATTGAGGTGTATAAAGGAATTCAATTACCATGCATATTGTGCCTATGGTAGTGTTTTATTTTATACAGAAGCAAAAGATATACACATTGTTTAGATGTATTCTAGATCTACTGTGGAGAAATATAAAGGGTGCATTGAATAACAATTCATCATTCATATAGGACATGCAGTGCAGCTTCTGGATCACTGACTTTGTTAATGTCACAGCACTTGACATACAGAATTCAAGCTGCTGCTACATCCCCAAATACACTGTTTAATAATAGCAGCACCATTCTACTAAATGTTGTTTTCTCTGTGTAATTGTACTGCAGAAAACCAAATGTCATTATCCCATTCATTTGTTTTGTCACTTAATAGCCTTTAATAATAATGCAAAAAAAAAAACAATATTATACAGTTACAGCATCCAAAGCAAATGTTAACTTCCGTCTAGTGTAGTCACTGATCTGCAAAATGATATATCTTTAGTTACCTTGCAACGTTCATTGCTTTTTTTTATTCTGTAAATCTTTTAGTGCATACATGTGAGAAGTAGATATTGCAAGAATGTTCATGGAAAATGCTGTAGGAGTTATTACTGTGGATCAGTCTGCAAGAACTGTCTGCATATTTACTAACCTTCGCTAGAGGGAATTCAGAGCTCTGTGCACAAATGATCCTTTACAGTAAGAATATACATGAATATGTGGTTCTGTTTTACAGTGCTATATTTAACAGGAATACAAGCATATGTACTGTGACATGGAATTTTAAGTATTCTTTATACATAATCTATATATAATTTTTTCTTTTCTTTTTTTGCGCATGTAGTTGTTTCAACCTTTGAAAATTTGGTCAACAATCTTGCAGTAGAGCCACCCCTGCATGCACATCATGCAAGTGGCAAATGAAATACATGAGGCATGATAAGCAGCGGGCTTGTGGCTTTGAAAAGCAAAGCCATGGACACAGTTATAGAAAAAAAAAAAAAAAAGGCAATGCTTAAAAGCTTGCTTAGCCTTGCCCTTAAACAAATGTTCCTTTAGCTATCTGCTGCTGTGGTTGGCTTTGTTGTGTTAATTAAAGTCTTAGGCAGCATATGAATAATCTTTAGAGGTGAGTGTGACTCATAATAAAGTGCTAGTATGTGGACTCAAATGCCCTGATTTTGCTGTCATTTATAAAGCCACTGATTGCTTTCAGATTGTAATGTAATATTTTGGATTATGTTGAATTGCCCTTCTATAGTCGTTTTCAACAAATGATTCACTCTCTTGGCCTTCCACTAGGTGTCACTGTATCTCTGCAAGTTTTTTTTATTTGCTCATGTTTCAAGATTAAACTTATTATATAATATTTAGCATGCATTTATTTGTACTTTCAGTAATTTCAAGTCATGTTTAAAAATGTTATATAAAAAAATTATTTGTGCTATACAGTAGTGCTATGCCTAATATGCAATGGTTCTCAAAGCCTAGTTGTTGACGACAGGAAAAATGATGCAAAGTGATGGAACCGTTTTCATGAAAATTGTACTGTGTTTTTTTGCTGATCATTTTCATTATGGTTTCCTGAGTAAAAAAGCTTTGTTTAGATGTTAGGATTACAAGTTACCATAGCAGTCATCAGACAGCACTTGTGCCAATTGCGGAATTTTTCTTTTTTTTCAGGCAGAGTATGTCCAGCTTGTTACTGAACTTCGCATGACAAGAGCCATTCAGCCACAGATCAATGGATTTTTACAGGGCTTCCATATGTTTATACCGCCATCTCTAATACAGCTGTTTGATGAGTTTGAATTGGTGAGATGAATTTTTCATTGTGTATTTTTTTTAAATATTGATCAGTATTTTGTAATGCATTTGGCTTTTACAAGAAACGTTTTACAAGTTACATCAATTTTCTGTTTTATAAAAGATAAAAAAATGTTTCTATGAAGGTTAAAAAAAGCTTTAGTGTATTTTCAATAAGCAAACCGTGAATTAACATTTATTGGAAGTTTGTGGTTATATTGTATACATGCATATGTATATATATTTTCATATGTAAATAACATTCCATAAAAATGACTAGAATTTTTACTCTTCAAGACCAATTGTAGCTTACACGAACATACTACTATTACTACTAAAATATGAAAAAAATGTACATGCATGTGCCCTTCAAACCACCTTGGGAGCCCTGGGGCTCTGCAAAGTATGTGATAAGTACGTAAGAACACGTCTAAATGCCTACTTTCCATTCAGTCATAAACTGTAGCATTCATTTTTGGCATTATCCGTCAGCACCCAAATAAAATGCGGTTTAGCAGGGCATGATTATTAGTAGGTGTTGCTATACAGTAATATAGTTTTTTTTTTTTTCAATGCAAGACTTCCATTAATCCATCATATTGATATTGACTGAAAACTGATTCAATTGAGCACATTGCGTGGAGATTTTATTTAAGAACGGCCCAAACATTCCATTGAGGCACATACCATTTTCCATTAGCTTGCATCCCTATCCACCCCAGTTAGCTATAAACAAGAACTTAGGGTTTTCTAAAAATGTTTCCAAAAATACAAACTAGATGTATGTTGAAAAATGCTCATGTAAAGTTTAATCAGTGAAAATGGCCTGTAAAAATATATCAGTAGTTCGAAAGATATGGGCAAGACCAAACTTTTTACAGGAAATATTAAGCTGACCACAGTTGGGTATTTTTTATATTTTTTTTTTTTTTTTGTTCAACCAGTAGGCTTTTCATCCACACAAACCAATGACTTCTGTCGAGCGTGGACAGCCTTCCAGTAGTCAGAATTCATCCCTTCCCTGCTGAAACACTCGAATATTGATATTCTAGGGCCAGCTTTAGATTTTCTTGTGACTTCACCTGCCCATACCTGGTATTTGACATGGGATTTTACTAAACTAACGGATTCATAATATTACCAACTGATGCATCATACAGTCAATTTTATTTGCATTGATGTGTGTCATGTTTACTTTGAAGCAGATTTATGAGCAAAATAAAATGATGTATATAATGAAATATGTACAGTACAGGACACAGGCTGGATGGTCATAGACCCTGGGTTATAAGCTACCCTTAGGTTACTGGACACTGGCAAAGCTATTAGACATACCTACCTAGGTGTAACCCTATCACACTAAGCGAGATCTTTTTGAAGATGTTTTTATGGTTACTAGTTTTTATTTACTTCAAATCCTTCAATCAGCCTCCTCACTGCCTTCTACTACAGCAATAGAAGCAGCGTATCCAGATGGGTGCAACCTCTGTAAAACCTTGGGAAGCATACCTGGACCCCACACTGTGGAGAAACACAGCAGTTTTTTTAGTCCCCATATAACATAGTGTTATTCCATGTTGATCATGCCAGTAGAACTGTTATATCTCCACTTCTTGTAATAGGGTGACAATGTTAATTCTGACATGGGTAGGGACGTTTAAATAAAGGAATAATGACTTTAATGTTAAAGAGAGACAAATCTAATCCAAACTCCATAGCACAGGCACATTTTAAAGTGTTACTAAACCCAGGACCCTGCATTCACTATATCTGGTCTCTCACAGTACACAAAACATGGAAATGCAATTATTGTAGTCATTATAAACTGCTAAATACCTTTTCTCATCAGCAGGTAGAGCAGTCTATCTGTGTCCAGCAGAGCACTGGTTAAAGCTTGTAGGAGGAGTTTTCATTCTCCCCTGATTGTCCAATGAGGCTGCAGGACCCCTGACCCTCTGTCTGGACAGCGATGATTGGCCCTGTGCTGATCACATGCACGCTTCCAAGAGAAAAAACTTTCTAGCAATACACACCAAACTGAGCATGTGCAGCTTGCCCCCAAGGCTCTGTTCTATCAGCAGAAGGATAGGGGAGTAGAAGGTAAGGATCAGAGAAGATAGGCTCAAACATCCTTTATACAGTGCAGAGGATTAACCCCTTAGGTTCCACAGTCAGTATAAAAAGTATGCTTTACTGCATATACAGACTGATCTTACTGTTGTGGGTTTAGTAACACTTTAAGGCGTTACAGAAAAAGGTTTTTAGTTTAGTTTTTTGTTTAAACAACCATATGCATAAAAGTTGACTTTTGTAAAGATCCACCAGCATAATAAGGTATGACTCAAGCTTTTCATGTTACAAGAAATGGAGAAATAGTGGAACTATGGGCAGAATTAAAAGGTTAAAAAAAACCTGTCACTGGGTGATTCAAACAAGCAAAAAAAAAAAAAGAATGTGCTAATTCTAGTGATAGCTTCTATCATACAGTGGATATAAAAAGTCTACACACCCATTAAAATGTCAGGTTTCTGTGATGTAAAAAAATGAGACAAAGATAAATCATTTCAGAACTTTTTCCACCTTAATGTAACCTATAAACTGTACAACTCAGGCGAACAACTAACTGAAATCTTTTAGGTGGAGGGAAGTAAAAACAAAAAACTAAAATAATATGTTGCATAAGTGTGCACACCCTTAAACTAATACTTTGTTGAAGCACCTTTTGATTTTATTCCAGCACTCAGTCCTTTTGGGTATGAGTCTATCAGCATGGCACATCTTGACTTGGCAATATTTACCTACTCTTCCTTGCAAAAACACTCCAAATCTGTCAGATTGCAAGGGCATCTCCTGTGCACAGCCCTCTTCAGATCACCCCACAGATTTTCGATTGGATTCAGGTCTGGGCTCTGGCTGGGCCATTCCAAAACGTTATTCTTCTTCTGATGAAGCCATTCCTTTGTTGATTTGGATGTATGCTTTGGGTTGTTGCCATGCTGAAAGATGAAGCTCCTCTTCATGTTCAGCTTTCTAGCAGAAGCCTGAAGGTTTTGTGCCAATATTGACTGGTAACTTGAACTGCTCATAATTCCCTCTACCTTGACTAAGGCCCAGTTCCAGCTGAAGAAAAACAGCCCCAAAGCATGATGCTGCCATCACCATGCTTCACTGTGGGTATGGTGTTCTTTTGGTGATGTGCAGTGTTGTTTTTGTGCCAAACATATCTTTTGGAATTATGGCCAGAAAGTTCAACCTTGGTTTCATCAGACCAGAACACATTTTCCCACATGCTTTTGGGAGACTTCAGCTGTGTTTTTGCAAAATTTAGCTGGGCTTGGATGTTTTTCTTCGTAAGAAAAGGCTTCTGTCTTGCCACTCTACCCCATAGCCCAGACATATGAAGAATACGGGAGATTGTTGTCACATGTGCCACACAGCCAGTACCTGACAGATATTCCTGTAGCTCCTTTAATGTTTCTGTAGGCCTCTTGGCAGCCTCCCAGACCAGTTTTCTTCTCGTCTTTTCATCAATTTTGGAGGGACATCCAGTTCTTGGTAATCTCACTGTTGCATCATATTTTCTCCACATGATGATGACCATCTTCACTGTGTTCCATGGTATATTTAATGCCTTGGAAATTCTGTTGTACCCTTCTCCTGACTGATACCTTTTAACAATGAGATCCTCTGATGCTTTGGAAGCTTTCTGCGGACCATGACTTTTCCTGTAGGATGCAACTAAGAAAATGTCAGGAAAGATCTACTAGAACAGCTGAACTTTATTTGGGGTTAATCAGAGGCACTTTAAATGATGGCAGGTGTGTACTGACTCCTATTTAACATGATTTTGAATGTGATTGCTTAATTCTGAACACAGCTACATCCCCAGTTATAAGAGGGTGTGCACACTTATGCAACCACATTATTTTTATTTTTTATGTTTACTTCCCCCCCTAAAAGATTTCAGTTTGTTTTTTCAGTTGAGTTGTACAGTTTATAAGTCACATTAAAGATGGAAAAAGTTCTGAAATTATTTATCTTTGTCTCATTTTTTTACATCACAGAATCCTGACATTTTAACAGGGGTGTGTAGACTTTTTATTTTCATTGTATATTTAATTTTTTTTTTTTTTAACTTGGATCCACATTAAAGCTGAACTAAAGTTCATAATTACTTAGCTCTGTTCCAATTATGCAATGTCTGTGAGCTACCTTGTTTGGCGCCAAAGTCTGTTTTTGCAGCTTCTTCTAGGTTTTGGGTCTTCAATTAACTTGTTGGCCAGCAGGGGAATATTGTAGCTTCTACACATGCACATTAGAGTTGGTTCATTCCGGCACCAAGGTTTGCTGAGAATGTACACTGAGCTGCACATGTGCACATTCAGTGTACATTCTAAAGAAGATTGAGAACAGGCAGTTATGTGTGCTTTATTAAAATGTAAAAAGTGTGTAGTGAGCGCAAAAGAGAAAAAAAAAAGCTAATCCACAAGCAGCTGGCACAGAACGGAAAACCCACTTCATCCACAAAAAAACATATAGAAAAAAGGATGCACCACTAATGTGTATATCATAAATTAATGGAAAACGACTAGTGAAACACTAGAATAATTATATAATTAAAACTGGTAAAAAATAATTTTTTTAGGGGCATAAATGAATAAAATTATAAATAACAAAAAGTCCAAAAATGAAGTGTCCAAAAGTGTTAAATAATAATGAATGAAATGGAGTGACATCTAGTGAAAAGTATATCCGTGACAATCCTTTGTCCTAATGCACTCACCAGAAGCAAAAAAACAAATTAGCTTTTGTACAGCAACTCCTTCAAAAGATATAAACCCCTCCACGGCCGGAATGGATGTTTATCAAATACAGCTGTAGAAATCCCTCTGAAAAAAGTATAACTTCTCCACGGCATCACTCGGCCACCGGTCCGATTAGGGTGAATCCTGGAGGGAAAAAGCTTGCTTGTGCTGCAAAGCCATTGACTGATGGTCTGTTTTCACCTT